TAATATTTGTAGAAGGAGAGGAAAAGGATTGAAATAGCAACAAAAATAAATAAATAAATAAATATATAAATAAATAAATATATAAATACATAAATAAATAGATAAATAACTAAATAAATAAATAATATAACCAACGAAAGAATTAGGGTTTAGGGGAGATGAATTCAGGTGTATAGACACACCTGTTGGTCGTTGGCTGGGTTCCTGTGGTTTGTTAATATAAATAAAAACAAAAATAATTTTAATTATATTTATTTATTTATTTGTTTATTTAATAGTTTTAATTAGTTTATTAAGGTGAAGATATCGATAGAGGCGGCTTTAGTTGTGTTTCTATTATTTTATTTATTTATTTATTTATTTATTTATTTATTTAACTTATTTATTTATTTATTTATTTGAGTTGTTTGTTTCTGTTCTTTACTCTCTTTGTATTTATCATATTAATGTAGTGCCTACACTACTATACATATAACATAACATCATTACATAAAAACAAATATAAAAATAAATATTTTAATGTTTTAATATATTTATATTTTAATAGTTTAATATATTTATATTTTAATATTTTAATATATTTATATTTTAATATTTTTATAAGAATTATATATATTTACCAGTCTGGGTCGAAGTGTATGAGTCTGTTAGCTGCTGTGAGGTTAAGCCCAGTGCCGCCTGCTTTTGAAGACAAGAGAAAAACTTTTGTTTGTTTATCTATATTAAATTTATTTATTATATCTCCTCTTATACTCTCAGGTGTATGGCCATCGAGACGTATACACCCCACTGCATGCATCCTCAGTAACAACTCCACACGGCTTAGAACCACTGTTGAGTTGCTAACCACTACAGCCTGAAATAATACATAAATATAAATATAAATATAAATAAATAAATAAATATATATATATATATATATATATATTTATATCAAGAAAGAACAGAATAAAAGGAGAAAAAACGAAACAAAGAGAGAAAAGAAGAAAAAGAGAAAAATACAAACAAGGAGAGAAAACAAAAAAAAAGAAACAAAAAAAAAGAAAACAAACAAATAAAGGTATTTTACCTTTTCAGGTGGATCTGCTGCTAGCTGCTGTATCAACTGCAGCAGCAACACCATCTTGTTAGATGGCTCTGAGAGTCTAAGACACATAATTATTTTTTATTTTTTATTTTTATTTTTTTTATTTTTATTTATTTATCTTTATTTATTTATTTTTATTTGTTTTGTTTATTTATTTATTTATTATTTATTTTTTTTTCTTATTAGGGTTTTTATTATTTATTTTTATCATTTTCACTCATTTGTTTATCTTTTATTATTATTTATTATTGTTATTGTTATTTGTTTATTTATTTATTTTCTATTACTATTGCTGTTGTTGTTGTATTTGTTGTTTTTATTCATACTTCGTTATTTTTATTTTTAATGTTATTTTATAATCTATATAATGGTAATTAGTATAATGTTTAATTATATTTTACTTCTTTTTATTATAATTATATTTTTGTTAGTATTATATTATTATAATTATAGTATTATCATAATTACATTATAAATATATTATTATAATTATATTTTTATTATTTTTATATTATTATAATTATATTTTTATTATAATTATGTTATTATAATTATAGTATTATTATAATTACATTATAAATATATTATTATAATTATATTTTTATTATTTTTATATTATTATAATTATATATTACAGCTTACAGCGCAGCATTAGAGGGTATGAGGCCTTCTGTGTCTGCTTCGTTCAGTTCTTCTTCTTCTTCACAAACTCCTTCTTCTTCTTCTGCTGCTGCTGCTGCTCTTGCTGCTGCTGCTGCTGTTGTTGCTGCTGCTGCTGCTGCTGCTGCTGCCGCTGCTGCTGCAGACGCGCCGCCTCCGCTGCATTTTGTTGATTCGCGTGGGGTGGCCTCCGGGGCGTTAATAAGACGTCTGTGTGGGGGGTAGAAAAAAAGTAAAATAAAATAAAATAAAATAAAATAAAATAAAATAAAATAAAAGAAATAAATAAATATATAAACAAGTAAATAAATAAAATAATAAATAAATATAAACAACAATAAGAATAAGAACAATAATAAGAATAACAATAATAACGATAAAAACGAAAATAAAAAGAAGAGCAACAACCACAACACCACCACCACCAAAACACCAAAACACCGAGAGAACTAGCACCTCATGCAGCAGCAGCAGTAGCAGCAGTAGCAGCAGCAGCAGCAGCAGTAGCAGCAGCAGCAGCAGCAGCAGCGGCAGCAGCAGCAGCAGCAGCAGCAGTATAAAAAATACCTGAGTGTAGTAAGCAACGCGAGACAGTTGTGTTTTGTTGCGTTTATATTTTCTATGCATTTACAACAAAATTTATTATAAGCGGCTTTGTGGGGGGCTGACAGCTCAACGTGCACTGTTAACACCCTCTTGCGGGGTACTGAGATATAAAATATATAAATATAAATAAATAAATAAATAAACAAG